CATAGCGACTTAATTCGGTACTCCTACGGAGTACAATTAACGCTATAATTGTACTCCTCTCGACCAATCAGAGTCGAGTAATTTTGTTGAGTGTACTATAAAATAAATAATTTTTAAAATATCATAAAATTTATTGAAACTATTATGTTTGGGAGTTCAGACCCCCTTGGATCTGCCATTGCACTCCTCACTATCACTAACAAACTTTACTGAAAAAAGAAAGTGCGCATTACAGGGCTCGAAATAGCAGCCTGCCAATGGCCAAATGACAGGCCAAATTTCAGGTTTGGCAGGCAAAAATAACGATGCACTGCCAAATGAATAATAAAATGGCATGCAAAGTTTTACTGGGATGACCTGCTTTATCTACTATGGCAGGCTACATTTTTTTTCCATTTCGAGTCCTGCATTAGGTTTTACAGAGGGAGGAAAACTAAAGAACCTGAAGACAAATACTTGAATCAATAGAGAGACTCAACAAGCTCTACACACGTGATGCCAAGTCCAGGAATTCCAAGACCCAAAGGGGTGAGAGGCGAGTGCATTACTGCTACACTAAATTATGCTTGATACTCTAGCATTTTAATGACAAATGGCCCAAACAAACACACTCTTTTGCACTATAAACCACAATTACCTCTTCTGGATCTCTGTAGAAGTACAGATCAGGCATAACCTCCCATGGAATCTGGCAAGTGATGCTTCCACGCATGCGCAACACTTCACGAGCCAAAAGCCAGAACATCAATCCAATGGAATGCACACCCTTGTTGTTGCATGGGATTGCGACATCAACATGGCTGAGAGGAGAATCGGTGTTGCAGAAAGCAATGACGGGGATGTTGACGTATGAGGCTTCAGTGACAGACTATTGATAAATAAAACAAGCTTTATTATTACCAGCATATCAAATATTAATATACAATAGACCTATCCCGAATTCGCTTGACTGACCACGAAACAATGGCTTGAAGTCGAGATTGAACTTGATTCTTTTATTCATCAAGTTCAACCTAGACTTGAAATCATTGTTTCGTGACCAGCCAGGCGAATTCGGGATAGGTCTATTGCATACATTGATATTAAAATGGCTAGGAGAAAGGAAGAAAAATGTAGGCAAAATTTTGTCAGAGCAATTTGTTTTCTCATTATAAAATTACTGCAACAAATTTTCCTTTCTATAATAATAAAAAACTCTTTATATAGAGAGTAGCACTAATTGGCTGAAGGTGCATTTTTCATGGGAGAATACAGTACCCATGTACAGTTACTATTGGGTCATTAAAACGTGTGACTTGATTCTGAAATAGGCCCTTTACAGTTAACGGTCACGTGTCTGTACTGGTGAGCAAAATTTTTTATTTTATTTTAAATTGGTGATTCTTTTTAGCTAGTTGTAAAGAACTGAATGAAACGATGTGTATCCAGTGTGTCACGAAATGCAGTTTTATTACGATCTCTCAAAACAGGTTGTAGAAAGTTTGTTTGCTCACCAGTATATTTCACCCATGGGAATCAAGATGTTCATTCATTTGCTCTCAGTGAATAAATCAGCACATGATTACTGAGCTGCAAAGAGCCTATTGAAAAAATGAATACTGTCATAAGCAAGGATGAAGATTTACTCACCTGATGGTCAATTCTGGGATCACAGACAATCAGAAGACGAGGCTCTCTGAATGCAGCTTGGATCTGGTTAGTGAATGTACCAGGGGTGAAACGGCCTGCAATAGGGGTAGCACCAGTATGGGAGGCATACTTGAGAATAGCACGCTGACCATAGGGCCTGGCAGAGATGACACAGACATCAGCAGGGTTCTCAATAGAGACAATGATACGTGCGGCCAAGAGAAGCTTTTCATAGGTTTTTCTTATGTTGATGATGTGAACACCTTGGAAAAATTAGAAAATAAATTAGGAACAAGTAACTAAGTGATGGTGGAGATAGGAAGTAAATTACTAGTTTTATTTAAGAAAGATTTAGGACTCAAGTTAGTAAAATGAGTTGATTATGACACTTTTCGCAAACAAAGCAGACCTCTTGTCCTTGTTAAACATGTTTTAAAGGTGTTTTTTTTTTCATTTCAGATCACGTCATTCCCTAGAGCATAATTTCTTTGTTTAACCTTTAAAGGTTATACAAGAGAAGACCATGAATATGAATGCAACTCAAACAAAGAATCATATTCTCAAGAGAATGAAACGTGGACATCTGGAGAAAATATTACATCCAAGCTAAGGAAGGTGTATTCTACATACCATCTGGTTTTCTTTTGTAAACATAATGTTCCATTTGGAAGTTGGCATTATTGGCTCCCAGATGGACACCAGCAGTAAGGAACTTCACCACATCTTCTTCCTTCAACTGCAAAACTTCTAGACCTCCAGACATTGTGCTTTGTTATACCTTTATTAAGTTACGGTGGACAACCTGGGGGAAAGCAATAGAAACCTTAAGCATGGTTTTCACTAGCGACATAAGCATAAGCATAAACACAGACCTAAGCGTATCAAGCCCACTCACTTCTCTGTTGACGTCCTCACTGCGACATTTAAGCACAAGCATAAGCACGAGGATCAAAGCAATCTCCTTCTTTTTATGCTTCTGCTTGTGCTTATGTTGCCTTATGTCATAGTGAAAACCACACTTTAGAATGCSGACACTTTACTACCATTATAGTTGAAATGCGACCCGAGATGCCAGATGTCTCGTTTGCCAACTAGCATTTCAACAGCTGTCAATCAAATATATGAAAAAACAATATCTTGAGATAGATTTTTAACAGAGTCAAAGATTTTAATCCCGTTGTTTTAAAATCTTTAATTTAGTCTGAAATCTCCCTCCAGATATTCCTTTTATTATTCCAGTTCTTTGCCTGATGGTGGTCAAAATGCTAGATACAGTGAAAACTTTAGACTATCAGGAAAGAGCAGAATCAGTTGTACGTGGGTCTTGCCCTTAAAACACAGGAGAGACTTTTGATCAAAAAATTATACCCTCCTCCCCCTTAAAGTATATATATAAAGATACTTGTTTCTCAGTTTTATTTGTGTTCTAGTTGACGTTTAATTAGTTTATAAGGACACAGTAAAAAAATAACGTTTATATCAAAGACAAAGTAGAGGTTTTAAGACAATAACTTCGTAAAAACGAAAATCCATGAATCATCTTAGAATCACAACATGTGCAGAGAGGACGTGACATTAAAAAAGTGTTGAAAAACATAACCTTCGATGTGTCCTTCGTCCTAAAACGCCGCAAATGGATAAAATAATGATTACTCTTTGTAAAAGAACTACTAGTTGGAGTCATGGAGCTTTTATTTAGGTAGAAATGATATTTTATTTGAAGGTATTTTACTTACTCGCCAACGACACGAAGGTCAAAAGGAAAGAGAACGAAGAAGCTGAACACGTGCAAATAAGGGGGCGCCCAACCAGTCATGCAGGGCTCTAACTAAAAAAATTAGGGAGGGGAGGGAAAGTAGAAATATCAAACCAATAAATTTCCAGCTAATTCGATCAAAAAATGTAACTTAAAAGAACTCGAAAGCTTTCGCTATTCACTAAATTAAAAGTCTATTCTTAAATGTGTTATTCCTGGTAAACCCTAAATATTTTTTGAGCTTGAACATTTTTACCTTCACCCTCCCCTAGTAGAGGAACAATATTTCGTTCCCAGACTTACTCATATTTCAAAATGGCGGCCGAGGTAAAGATGAAGATTTGTTGAAATTGTAAGAGATTTATGCTTCGTTGATAAAGAGAAAGCTATTTATTGGTCTAGCAGATAAGTAGGTCTTCTGTTTCTTTAAGTAATGATGTCAAGCTTACGTTTCGCAAGGTTTGCAAAGGAGTTCATGAATTATGGAGTTAGGAAAAGAAGCTCCTTGTTATCTTGTCCTGTATCTAAGAGATTCTGCTCCTCTGCACCAAAGCCCTCGGATAATGATTCTAAAATAGTCACTAAAACACTAAACTCAGGAGTTACTAAAGTCATCGAGCTTGCAGAGAAGCCAATTCAATCTAAACAAGTTGCTAAGTCTGTTCCTTCTACTCATGTTGTCAAGTTTGAGCAAGCTATGAGTCAAGGAAAAACGCGGGAAAACTTCATCGAAGTCCTAGAAGCATTCACAAAGGATAATCAACCACGACGTGGACATATGGAGCTTTTGAAAACTTCCTTAGAATATATGGAAAAATTTGGTTTGGAAGGAGATCTGGAAGCTTATAATGCTATGTTAAATGTTTTTCCAAGAGAAAGATTTAAAAATAGAACTCTTTTTGATGCAATATGGCCTAAAATGCACCCTCAAGTTGATCTCGCACTTGAAATTTTAACCAAGATGGAGGAAAATGTTATTAAACCAAGCTTAGAGACTTATGATCTTTGTGAAGAGATCTATGGTAGAGCCAGTCAGCCTGTTCAGAAGTGCCGTAGACTTGCTTTCTGGCTGACAAAGCTTGAAGAAATGTTTCCTCATCCATTGCCTCATGTCTTGCCTGAAGATGAAGTAGAGCTTAGCAAGTTAGCATTAGAAAGAATGACGAAGGATCCAATCCCTATTTTAATTTATCAGGTAAAAAGTTCATAAGGAAAACATCAGTTCATTGATTCATACATCAGGGAGTCAGGTACCCTGGGTGCCAGAAGCCGTGTGGGACTTGGGACATCTGGCACCCAGGGTAGGAGTCAGGATGGCGTGGTGCCAAAATACTCTCCTCTCACCCCTGAGGTCCAGTGTTCATATCACAGTCGCCCCATTGAATTAACTTTGCTTATAGAGGGTTACACCTGACAGTAATTCAACTGATAAACTTGTGGTCCTCTGTTAACATCTCTATTTAATTAGAGACGGGGCCGCCATTAACATGATCATCCGAGCCATATGAAGGTCTAACCATTTGCAGATGTAATTACAAAGGTAGTACATTCTTCTCAGTTATTTTAAGACCCTGAGTGTTGGTCCAGCCGAGGCTTGAACCATGACCTCCCGCACAACAGACAGACACTCTTACCAACTGAGCTAGCTGGGTGGCCCATATGAGCTGAGTTGGTTGGTTTTCTTTCTTACTCCGAGGGGTTTTCCGGCCCTCTGGTTTTTCCTCCCTCCACTTAAATCAATCCTGACTAATTTGAACTTCAGGGTCATACAGTATATGGGCTGTGTACCAGCTGGCAGAGCTGGCATCTTCGCATGTTTTCAGTTCGACCCTGTTGAGCTGCACCACTGCTGTACTTTGGGGTGGTGATAAGCATTAACAAGTTTTTATTCGTTCCTTCATTTATTCAATCATGAAGAAAATGTGCAAATATACTGCTTGAAGTATGCTTTTTTATGGTTTATTAGTTCATTTATTCATTCAATCATGAAGAAAATGTGTAAATATACTGCTTGAATTAGGCTTTTTTTATGGTAGAACATGAAAGACGTGTTAGGAAAAGCATGACACATATCAGAGCGCTTCTCAGCACTTCTCAAGTTAGTGTTCTGTCAATCCACAAGTGCTTTATTTATCAAACAAAACAGCTTTTTATGCGCTTTGTTCAGTAATAAAGCACGCCAAAAGTGATGTGAGCACGTAAACTTAGGAAGAGAAGCACAGTAGGCCAGTTATTCTATAATTCATTCTTTTTTTTTAATCTCATCTCAAATCATACATACACTGAATCAGATTTACATCAAATACGACCATAGACCAAATGTGAAACCCACCCCAATTCATTCTATTTTCTTTCTTATTCTCAGGAAGGAAATGAAGAGAAAGGTATAGATTTTATTGTGGGTTCTCAAACCTTGAATCAAAGATCAATACTAGAATCGTATGATGCAGAAAAACCAGTTTATGTTGAAGGACCTCACTTTGTCTGGATAAGACGCCTAAAAAGACATTTTTATACTTTACGCTCACATGGATGTGAAGGAAAAGAAGAAGAAGACCTTGAAGATGGTGAAGGTAATGTGAACTTGATAAAAAATGTGTATTGTTAATTCACCTTTTTGGTGCTCGCCATCATGTGCTCCATCACGTGGCATAAATAATATTGGATTGTACCAAAAAGTCACCAGTCACCAAAACGTTTGGACATTTTTCTTGGATTCCTGTACTAAATAATGTACTGGCTTTCCAACAAATTATTTACTTGACTTGATTATCTGTTCCTCTAAAAAGCAGTAAGAAAAGCTTCGATCATGTTAAAAAAATGATATTGTGCTTGTACTTAGAGAGCTAACTAAACAAATCAAGTAAATATTAAATTGTTTAAAAGCCAGTACATTCATACAGTATGTGTGCGGTACCAAAATCCAAGAACACTGTCCAAACACAATCTAATCCAATCAATCACAAAACAATCGATCTTCAATAAATACAATAAAATGTGATCTCCCATGAAAAAAAGGGACATTTTTATGTCTCAGCCATACAGTACTGAGTAACAGGAAGTTGATAAGTATAATTAATACAATTACAATGACCAGGCTTTAGTTTAACAAACGTTTCAGCAGTCCTGCTACCATCATCAGTGTAAGGAATGGATACTTATAAAGCTTCACTGCCGTTATCGATATTCTGCGAACTCAGAAATTTCAAAAGCTTCTTGTGAAATTGGTTTATCACTGCTGCCAGTCAAGGATATAAAGGTACAAGCTGATTATTTTTGATTGACAGCAGTGAAAAACCAAATTTCATCATGCAGCTGGAAAATACCAAGTTCACAGAATATGGAAGACCGCAGTAAATAACTACAATTAACACTGTTTAGTTCTTAGTTGAAGTTTCACCTGATTGTACTTTTAATAGGTGCTGTCTTGGCTGTATGTATGACCAACACAAGCTGTAGTCAAGAGACACTTCAACAGTGGATATCAAGACTGCAAGACCAAACCCCAAACCTTGCTAACATCAAAGTCATATTCAACCTTCACACAACAGAACAAGGACATTTATAATAATTATTATGAATTTGAAATATAAAAAAGATGATTTCTTGGTTCAGAGTTATGGTAAAAGGGGATAGTATTTCTTAATCTCTAATGGACTGTTCATTTTTCAATAAATTTTTCAATGTTTTGTTTTGTTTTGTTTTTCATTGTTTTGTTTTGTTTTTTTTGTTTTTTGTTTTGTTTTTTTTCTTTTGTAAAAGTGCTGTGTATCTAGGGTTGTTTTTGTGCCCGATCTTTGATACTCATCCCACCTCAGTAATAAAGCACGCAGGAAGTGACACTTCTTGAGTGCTTACGGCGCTTTCTAAGTGCTTTATCACTGAACGGAGCACGGAAAAAGCTGTTTTACTCGTTTTATCATATAATTTCTAATCTTATTTCGGTATTGAATTTATTTACACAAAAAGAAAGACGATCACAAGATCTAGCAGCACTTCGCGCCCGTGGATGGCACTGTGCTCCGTTCACTAATAAACACAGTTTTTGACCAAACAGCGGACGCGTACTGCCCTGACTATATAATAAGTAAATATATAATTTGATATATACACTGCTGATATGTTTTGCGAGTTTGCGGACAAAAGGGGTCAAGGGTAGTATGGTCGTTTCTTGAGAATCTTCAATAAGCTTACCATTCTCAGCGCAAGCCAACGCAAGAAAAAACTCAAACCTTCGGTAGTAGAGTACAAGCACTATAAGTGTGTAACATAAATACCACTGAACAGAGCTAAATTATGCTAATCCTTTTGTTTTCTATTGTTTAATTAGCACTATTTACTACTAAATAGCGCAAAGTGTTGCACACTTTTAGTGTTTGTACTATACTAGCGCGTAATTTGAAAATAAAGCCTTACTGTGCCGTTTTCGAGTTACGTAACTCGATTTTGATCCGAACGATACTTGTCATCGAATTCCGCACAGTTGTGAAAGTGGGCGTTGTCTCAGCAAAATGGGTGTGTCCGAGCGCGTAATTCAAGGAGTGCGTACCCCGATTTTTTCTTTCTCGTGCAGATGAGTCTTCAGTGTCAAAAAACAGCGGCTCTCACCGACTGAGTAAAGGGATTATTTAGACGGGATTGGGTATACCTGGTACCTAACACCAGTTATTTCGTCACTTTCAACACCAGTTCTTCCAAACGCAGAAATTAATATATACTGGCCGTTTGTTAGACTGCGAGCGGTCCCACTTTTCCTTCCAGCCTCAGTAAAAACGAGTGTTTTGGGATTCCTGTGGACACGCGCGGAGATTGAAGTTGAGTCCTTACTGAGTCCGCGCCGTGGAGGGAAAAGTGGGACCGCTCGTGCACAGTCTAGCCTTTTGCATACACACTAAACGACGCGGTAACTCGAATTCAAGATTTTATAGTATAATTTTTTAGCATATAGTAGAATTCATCGATTCTAAGACAACAATTGCTTTCTGTTCCATGTTGTATATCAAAAACACATTTTAGCTTGTCCGACGTAGCAACAGTAGCTAGGGAGGCCGAGAACAATGATTGCGGGATCGGTGTAATAAAATCGGGTCCCTAGATTTAGAACATTGTGGTGACCTTGAAAGTAATGGAAAATGGCAGTAACTATCGTATGGCACACCAGATCATTTAGTTCATACCAACACGAGACATTCAGCAGAGCTCATTTGAAGAATATCAATGGGGAATCCTTTGGAATCTGCTGTACTTGCTGTGGTGTCTAGCGAAAACAAGTTATTCGTTTATAAATAAATTCTTCAACAAAAACATTCTCGCTGTCTTCGTTGTTTGTGTGTATGTGTGGGAAGGCTTCCAGGGTTGTCACCGACTTACTTCATCACTGTATTAACCGACCCCTCCCCACAAACAAACAAAAAACATACCAATTCGCTAAACAAACCAGTATATTTATTTATAGTTCTGTTCAGCCTTCCAGTGATAACGGACAGGCTATGTCAATAGCCAAATTCACAGTTTAATTAGATTACAAATTTGATAATCAGTACAATCAATTCGAGTGTGCTGTATAAAGTAAACACTGTATATAGTCTGTATATACCGATATATTCCCAAACATTGATACAACAAAACATGACGGAGTAATAAAAAAGATTATAAAAAAGTTAGAGATTTTGTAGGTTATTTTCCTCTAACCCATGCACTCTTCAGAGCTAAGTTATTCGTTGGTTTGTAGATTCGTGCTGGTTTTATCTGTCTTGGGGCGGCTGGAGGCAATGAAGGGAACTCCATCTCATTCCTGGTTTTCTGGCTTCCTTCCTTCTTTACTGGGGCTGAACTACTTTGTAAAGAGCCCCACGCACTATCAAGAGCATTCAACTTCTTTCCACCACTCTTTGGCAACGGTTCCCCATTTTGTTTAGCGAGGACTTTTGCATCGTTATAAATGCTCAAGAGTTCCTTTTGTTTCTCATGGTCAGGAAGCAAGGTCACTAGTTCATGAAATATTAATGCAAAAGTCGGTCCAAAAAGTGCAGTACAGTCGTTATAATAAGCCTCCGCAGAGCACTGCCCTTGACGGAATTTTCCAGAAAGTTGTTTAAACTGGACAAACTTCTCCGCATCGTGATTTAGCAAAACCTTGACATTTCCTATCAAATTTTGGTTTCTCAGCTGATTGTCTTTAGCATCAGGTTTGCTGTCTTTTTTCTCGTTGTTAGTCGGTTTTTCCTTGGGCAAATGAATGTCGTCAACTTTTTCGCTGAATTGAAAGCTATTTTGAGGGTTATTTCCATTGGTAATTTGCTGTGGCTGAGAGGACAAACTGGACATAAAGCCAGGAGGCGGTCTTATTTGTGAAGTTTCCAAGGGTCCCTTTGCAGCAAGCGAGAAACCCGGCGGAATATTATTTGGTTGGGATGTCGTGGGTTTTCCGAGACTTGGAAAATCTTCAAGATTACCCAAAGATTTATTCTTCTCACCAGCGGAACCATCCTTTCTTGGTGGCTTTGAAACTTTGGCGTTACTTTGATCACTCACTGTTACAGTATTCTGCTGGGGTTTTGAAGACTTTTCAAGGGTCGGGAAATCGTCATTGTTGTCCAAAGGCTTCTTCTTCGAACCTTCTGGCTTTCGTGTAGTCTTAGGTGAACTTTGGATGTTTGTTTTAACGTCGTTTGCTCCATTCTTCTGGGCTTTGGAAGATTTTTCAAGTGTTGGAAAATCGTCCAAGTTGTTCAAACTTTTAGCCTTCTTGTTGGGCTTTTCGATCTTTCTCGTAGACTTGGGAGAAAATTGCCTTGTATTTGGGACATTATTGGCTACTCCATTCTGTTGTACTTTTGAAGTATTTCCATCGAGAACTGGAAAATCTTCCAGATTATTCAAGCCTTTTGCCTTCTTGATATAAGCTTCGGTTTTTCTTGTAGAATTTGGAGACGGTTTGGGGCTGCTATTTTGAGAGGTCTGAGGAGCTGGAATTTCTCCATTTAGTAAAGGAAAATCGCCTTCAGGTATTAAAGCTTGCTTGCTTTCATTGGTAGGATTTTCTGATGTCTTATTCTGATGTGAAGATGGATTATCTTCTGTTTTCGCCAAAGACTTCTCTATGGCAGCCTGTACGTTTTTATCTTCTTGCCTGCACAACATAAAAATAGAATTAACCATTAAATACAGAAAAGATGAGAGCAGACTTGGTTGTGCAGCCATGACCCTTCTCTTTGAACCACGCTATTTCCTTTTCAAAGAATGTTGAAACTCTAAATCAATCTTAAAAGGAACTTTTGCTTGTATTTTGTGGGAAGTTTGTACACTCTTACAAAGCCTCTACACTAAGAATTACAATCTATACAATACTCAACTCAATTTTTTTACACATTTACACCTAATTGTAAAAACGTTGTCGGGTTCAAAAAAAGGTCATATCATCAAAGCTAAGACCGAAGGGGAGCATGGGAAGACAATTATGCTAATTTCATGCGTATTGCAATTTTTTCCTTCCTGTGCACATTTTATGCATCATGGCTTTGGCATGTTGTTAATCTAGGTCGACCGACTATGCTCTACTGTGCATTTTTACATGTCTATATGCAAATATAATATACATTTTGGAGTACCCAACCCGACTTCTCCGACCCAACTATGTTTTTTCAATTTTCAATTAGGTGTATATAGCAACAAAAGTAAGAGAGTGAGACAGAGGAAGTGGTGCCAGATGTGATAGTTTAGCCTACAACTTCTTAGGACATACAAATAAGACTTAAAGATTGAATAGCTACAAAAAACCTTTGACTTACCTGGTGTTACTAGTATTACGTCCCTTTCCTCTGTTACGTCTAAACCTTTGCTCACCAGCTTGAACTTCATTATAATCTTGTCCAGTTACAGTCCATCCTTGCATAGATGGACGATTGAACACAAGATCAACTTCCAACTGCCTCGCTTGCCTCACTTGAGCTTTGGTCATCTTTTGTGAATGCTTCGAAGCAATGTGAGCTTGTAAATCAATTTCAGAACGAAATACTGAAGTATACTGTTCATATTTACACGTGTCTTCTTCGCAAAGGAAATGCTCATCACGGAAATGATCCCTGAGGTTAACATAATCTTGGAAATACAACTGTTTCCCATCTTTCTCACATATATGACACCAAAAGTGATTCTTGCGGAGATGATGATGAAGGTAATCATCATCAAGAAAGCGCTCATCACAAAATTCACAAATCGGATGTCCCTTATACGCTGTATCACTCGGATCTCCCACACGTCGATGTTTTGCTAAGTCAGCACGGGAGTAAACTTTCAACTCATGAGTAAACTTCTGGAGATGTTTAAGACAAATATCACAGAAATATAAATGATGTTCCTTCTTCATATGATCACGGAGTTTGTTTAACGTTCTTTCTGGTGGATGTTCCAAGCATTTGGAACATTTGTGTTGAAGGAGCTCATTGACTTTATTGCGAACTTCTTTATCACCATAACACAAACCAGATTCTCTGTCCAAGTAGCCATGTTTTATTTGGTCTTGGAGAGTTGACCACTTTCCACATTTCTTTGTAAGAAGAACCTACAGTTGAAAAAACAAAAACATTTTTGATGTTTGTTGTCTATCAATGAATATTGAGAGGCATTTCACAGACTTCACAATGGGGAAGGCAAGAGCTTTACACACATGGCAGCAGTATTGACTGGTGCAATTAAGATTTTTCCCTTTCCCTAAAGCCTTTCATTTAAGCACTAAAAGATGAGCTTACACTGGGTTAAACAAAGTTTTTTATTCTCRTAGAAATAAAAATGGTACCATCTAATCAAGGTTGATTCCCCACAATTCCAAATATCAACAATACAATACAAGTTCAGCAATACAAACACTTAAAAATGCACAGGACCTTCACTGGAACATAAGAATATTCTACACAAAATTGAGGCTATAACCCTGAACTAGAGAGAATTCAAACAGGAATACTTTCCTGGTGCCCCACCCCCCTACATTACATTAAGCAAAAAATGTTGCTATTTTTCCATAAGTTTACACTGCTTCTTTTTGCAAGATCCATGTATGGACTTATTACAAACCCCACACTCTTAAATGAAAAATTATCTTAAATGAATGGCAGCAATATAAGAACAATAGGCCATTTCACAGATCCCATTACTCAACCTCAGCCTCATTAACGTGTGATTATTCTTTAGAATTTGACTGCAGAATGCAGTAATGAAACGAACAATTGAAACACTTAAACATTTCACAGGTTGTAGGCAATTTCTAAAGAATACATTACACGCTGACAAGGCTGAGGTAATGAGGAAATGGCCTATTCTTAGGGTGCATGTTATATCACTGCTATCATGTTGGTTGAGGACAACAAAGCATTTCTCTTTATCTTCTCTCCAACCAACATGATGCCTGTTTAATCGTTATTCATATCTCAAGGTATTTGTAGTCATGTGGTTGCACCCTAAGAATAGGTCAAGATTAGTTTGATAGTTTCCATGAATTCTTAAAACTCACATTACAACATTTTCTATAGTACCTTTAACATTAAAACCGATCTTTAGGGCTGGTTCACTCTTTAACACAAGCTTAAGCATAAACTTAAGTGTGAGAAACACAAGTGTGAACTGCGCTAGCACAAAGCATAAGCATAAGAAATGGAAACTTTTCCATTTTCTTATGATTATACTTGTGAAATCCAAAGTGTGAACCGGGCGTACATATAAGCATAAGCATTACATTAATAGTACTATACTTCTTGTGCTTATGTTTTAATGCTTATGTTGAAGTGTGAACCAGCCCTTATATTTTGCTTTTCGGACGAAAAAAAAACATTCTAATATACCTTAACTTTCTTAAACAAAAAAAACAATTAAAGATAATGAAAGCTAAAGTTAGATTAAAATTAAAATTTTTTTTGTACGAATTTAGCAAACTTGCGAAATGTCTTTCACTTCATTTTTAATTCATATCAAAAGCTAAAACTCTGTCGAACAGTTAAGGATAAGATAATCGAATCTTTTGGCTCACCTTATCCAGATCAGTCCTACAAACAGCGCAGTATTTTTCCTTCCCCAAGACTCTCATCCTCACTGAACACACATAACAGATGGGATGATCACACTGACCAACAGCGAAAATTACAATATCTTCGCAACAGACGACACAAACATTCTCTGATTCGCTTCTATTATGATTTCTAGGCATCGTGGAAGATTATCTGATAGATCGGAGTTATAAAACGCGGGTAAAATGAGTTAAAAGTGGCTCTAATGCTTTCTAACTACTAAACCGAACAGTGGCTGAGAAACTAAGCGAGGAAAAGGATGAATAATCGTTTAATGACGTCACATAAGTATTGCGCCACGAAATGAAACCGGAAGTGACGTTATTTTAAAATCAAAACATAATTCTCTCCTCAAATACTCTCAAATAAATATACCTCTTATTTCATAAATGTTCCTTTTACTTTGATTCGTGTTTTGAGTGATTGGTATTTTTGAAAATAAATCAAGAACATTATTTATTTAAATATTTTTAAATATACCCACAATGCATTGAGAAGAAAGTTATAGTCCCAGTCTCTTTAGTGAGCGAGTCCACGATGTAGTGGCCAGCGGTGATTGTATGAGTACATATTATGGTCTGTCTGGACCCGGTTTCTCTCTTTTCCTTCACAAAACTCCAACATTTGACCCAAGAACTGGGGGAAAATGCTTCCTTTTGGACGAGCTGGACCGTCTATGGTCAGGGTTTTAGGACGAACAGCACCTTCTACGGTTAGTCTCCTCATTTATCTTAGTTATATGGGTATTGAATGCTTTTTTAGGGTATTTTATTGTACACTAAATAACGATGTGATGTAACACCACTACACTCGTCTTGGACTTTACTCTTTATTAATTGCAATAAAGTTTTCTTCCGTACAGCTTTTTTGTCATAAGAAAGATGAGATTTATGCTCTCCAAGCACAAAATTTCAATTTGAGTACCAAATAATGATAATATTAATCTTTTGTTTTGAACAAAGATCAAGAGATCAAATGTGGACAACAGAAATGAAAATTAGTGTCTGTCCATCCATGTGGTAATGGGTGTCCAGGGCTGTCAACTCTCCCAGATAAACCGGGAGTCTCCAGATTTTGGACCGTGTCTCCCGGTCTCCAGATTAGAGTATCAAATCTCCCGGATAATCCCCGAAGCTGACCATTTCTTKTCTTGTGAGACTAGACTTTCACAACCATAAAATTCCAATTATTTCATGTTGTTTGTGTTATTTTGCATTGCTAACAAAATCAAAATGTTCCTCATAAACTGTTCTTGCAAGCAGGCCATTGTAATATAAGCGATAATCTGATTGGTCAAAAATAAACCAATCACATCAAATGTTACAAAGCGAAAGACGTCTTTTTGCATGCTTTTTGACGTGCTGTGATGTCATGTCCCTTCCCTATCAATTCTCCAGATTTGAATATCTCGGGGGTTGACAGCCCTGGGTGTCCATTGTCCATCAGGGATTCATCTAGACCTGTTTGTCTGTCTTTCAATAAATAGGGAAAGTTCACTTAATGTGCCAGGGGAAGGGGGGAGGCACCAGATATTTTTGGGCATGATAGGGAGGGTTCTCAAAATTTGTCATGCATACAAGGGGGCTCTCAATTTGAATTTGAAAATTTTCATGGGTTGTTTGGGGGAGGTTTCAAAAATTAAGTCCACCACCCCCTCTCAGCATATTAAATGAACTTTCCCTTAAGGCTATCATTCAATAGCCTTTGACTGCAACTATTCCAATGTGACAAAGACTCAAGCTGTACTTTTTATAACACTTATTGCAGCAAAAGTTGTATGCTTCCACTGCTGTGCCGTTAAGTGAACCCATCTTGGATGTACAGCCAAAAGAAAATGTTTTAAAACCACAGAATGTGCAGGTATAGTGTCTTATGGAAATCTAAAGTTACAGACACAAGGTGTGATGTTCCATGCATTGTCGCATGCAGAAGTAGAAGTAATTTCTATTTCTGCGATGTCGCATGCAACTTTGCACTGTCTGACACCCAATAAACAGCCTTTTTCATGCAACGCTGCAGTTGATGTTGCATCCTGTGTCTGTAACTTAAAGACGAGGGTGTAGCAGTAATCTGCTCGCCCACATCTGGGGCCTCAGAATTAATCTCTGGACTCTGCATCATATGTAGGCAGAGTTTGTTGCGTTTGTCCCTTGATTCAAGGGTTTTTCACTGGGTCCTCATTCTCTTCTTTTCCTTCCTCTACAAAACCCAACATGCTAAATATCAAATTGATCTGTGAGTTGAAATCCTACTGGGGAAATTTTTTGGAATACAGTAATTTTGGGGGGACATGGGAAGCCATGTAGAACTCTAGGAGGTCGGAAAGCAATGGCCACAACTATTTAGAGGAGAGATAAAAATCATAGTCTGTGAATCAATTTTCTGTAAAAAAGTGCTCAATACTTAGAAGTAGAGCAGAATATATGTGTGAGAAGAAAAATTCAAGACTACATTTTTCCTGACAAGCCTGTTTCCTGAATCGCTTCACTACATAAAATTTACTACCTAATTAATTATGTATACTTTTTTCTATATAAACGATAGTCACGAATATTCTTATCATTAAATCCCCACAAAACAGGCTTGTAGGGGAAAAAGGTAGTCTTTATTTTTTCTTCTCCCACACACACGCACACACACAAACACACACAAACATATACATATATAAATTGGAATAATTTGGAAATGTAAAGAATAGAGTCATTTATTTTACCAATATTTTCTCATAATTTTGTTATCTATTGTTGTTCTAGGTTACCACATTGGATAACGGCATGAAGGTTGCGTCATTAGAAACCCATGCTCCTACTTCCAAAGTAGGCCTGTTCTTTGAAGCTGGTAGTCGATATGAGATGCAGGACAATCTGGGTGTCTCACACTTTTTAAGGAATGCAGCTTTTGTGGTGAGCTTATCTACCAGCCGCTTTATATTGCAAGTAAAGTGCTGCAAGTGTGCGTGAAATGGCAGCTACATGCCATCTAAGTAATTGTGGTTGCAGCATATAATTTATCCATGATGATGTATGTTTCTAGTCGTGAACAAAATACAGGCCGGGACACCACAAAAGTGAAATGAAATACTCTGGGGGATTAGCATGAAACTTGTCCAAAATTTAATATAATCTTTAAGGGTCTATTAATCACTGGTTGAAGATTTCTCTTGATATTTTGATGGAAAGTACCATATTATATTTCTTAATTCAAAGAGTTCAGTGATGATCAACATACAAAAAAGTATGGAGCACTATTCAATGTGGAGTAGTTTTTTGTTATTTACTGTACAACTTACTCATGACTGTAAATGACATCTAGAACTAAGCATGTTGAGTGCAATAGCCCTCCTCGGCTTGAGCGCAATGTTTTCCCATTTCAGACCATGTGTCATTCCCTCAAGAAAAAGATTCTTTGTTTGAGCTACATTCGTTTTAATGTGTCTTCTCATGTGCAACCGTTAAACAAAGAAATGTTACTCTAGGGAAAGACGTGGTCTGAAATGGGACAACATTACACCCGAGCTGAGGAGGTCTATTGTGAGGAAATAGTGGTAAAGCAGTTTTCACGTGATTGGGAAAAAGCTCAATGCCATAAGCATGACGTGCCGTGACCGCTATGCTTTCTAGAATCTTAACTGGCTGATTTTTTCTTGCGCATTGTGATTGGTCTAACATTGCCATGACCTTTGCATGTCTGTGTCTGCGAGTAAATTCTCATGCAATGTGATTGGCCTGGCGTATGCTTTGCTGTGTCACAACCGTGTTCAAGCCATGAGCTTTTCATAATCATAAGAAAACTGCTCTACTGCATAATTCATCCTATAGATGAAGGTACCACTGAAGTTCCCACCTTCAAATCCTGGAATTATGTCATAAGGGGTAAAGTATGAATCCATTGGTTTGTTTTAATAGAGTACCCAGGATCGTAGCTCATTCAAAATTGCAAGACAGTTAGAGCAGTGTGGAGCAAGTCTAGAGTATGTATTTTTCAAATTTCCAAAACTTAACATATGAGATTTTTTGGTGATAGTAACTTCAACCGATTAGGTGGATCTAAAGATTGAATCACTTTTACAGTGTTTCTCAAACACGAGGGTGATCACAATTTTCTGTCTTGATAAAAGATTGTTTTGGTGGTTGTCAATCAGAGTGTTTTCATTTAAATTGTGGGAAAACGCAGAGTTTTCAAGGGTACGTTCCTAAGGAATGTCATAGAAATACCTCAAGTGATTTACAACCACCAAAACCTACTTGAAAACTTTACTATTTCATGCGTGCTATCATTTCATTCATTGAGAAGTGATGTACTGTAAGAATAAGCAGGGTTTTGTTTGTACATTTATATTTGCACAGCATTTTACAACAATGTATAATCTCTGCCTATCAAAACATCAATATGAAGTGCTGATACTTACATGTAATTGGTTAGGAGTAAAATGCACAATCCAAAATTGTCAAAAAGAAAGCAAAAAACATGTGGAAGGGTTTCACATAATTCACCTTTTTCGGCAATAGCCGTCACGTCATAAACACTTTGTTGGATCGTGTTACGGTTACCAAAAAGTTCAGACATCGTTCTCGGATTCCCATAATACAAATTCACTGAGTTTAAAGAGAAAATTTAGATAGATTCCTTTAGTTAGCTCTCTTAACAGCAATAAGAAAAGCTTCAATCAAGCTTACTCCGACGAAGGACTAGCGTCCGAAACGTCAGTAAGTTTTTTCATCTTTTCACGGTGTATAATTTACCTTTTCATCATTACTGTTTCATTAGNTCTTTTCACGGTGTATAATTTACCTTTTCATCATTACTGTTTCATTAGAAACACCGACGCAGCTCACACTAGTTTTTAGCTAGTTATATCTTCTAGAAAAATGATAATTTACTTGTATTTAGAGARCTAACTAAACATTAACTAAGTAAATAGTTCATTTAGAGTCAGTACATTTGTATGGAAATCCTAGAACAATGTCCGAACTTCTTGGTGACTGTAACACAATCCAACACAATTTATACCACGTGACGGCTAGCGCCGAAAAGGTGAATTATATAACATGTATGCATCAATTTGTACCATTAAACCTCTGCATAGTCTGACACCAAATTTCATATTTCATTTTATAGAGCAAGTAACACAAGAGATCACTTGATATTTGCTGCAGACTGTAAGCGCGATAGCATGTGAGTATGGAAAGGACTTTCTATTTGTTTTTGTTTTTTTTAATTAATTTATCTATTTATTTATGACAAGATGTTAATAGTAGCATTGAATTTTAAAAAACTGTATTACATACAGATGTAAAGTTTTTTCATTTCTTATTCAATAAAACTGTTTATTGTTCTTTTAGTCAAGATGTACTTGACAGCCTAGCAAGCATTACTACCAAACCATTATACAATCCTTGGGAGGTAAGTACTGAACACTGCACAAAAACTACACTACTTACACTGCCTACCCTACCTACCTTACTAACCTTACCTTCCCTACCCACACTTATCTATGCTACCTACACTACACAGCTACACCACACTACACTACCCTACATTATGCTACATACCCTACCTACTCTGTCTACACTACCTACACTACCTACTCTATATACAGTACCTACAGTACACTACTTACACTACCTACACTAGCTACTTACACTACCTACTCTACCTACACTACCTATTCTACCTACACTACCTACACTACCTACACTACCTACAGAACACTTACAAGAACACACTACCCATACAGTATCAGTATGGTTATACAGTTATCTATAATATACTTTCATGACACTTTATCTGCAACTTTTTAGCTTGATGAGGTAGCACAGAGAGTTAATTTGGATCTTGCTATGGCTGCAGTGCAACCACAAATAAGTAAGCTCATTCTTGATGTTGTAAATTAGTTAGTAAATTATGACTTGGGTTCACTCCTTTTCTCTTTTTTTTTTTTTTTTTT